AAAAAAAAAAAAAAAAAAGAAAAAGAAAGAAAGAAAACTGGCCAATCAATCTCCTGACTGTGTCATAACTCTGGTGCAAGCAGCTGGGAAAGAGGCAAGTAGAGTGGAGTGCAGTATTGCCAGGAAACAAGTGTCAACCTTTACTCACACCCTCCTTCCTCCTGCCAGCCAGCCCTCACTTCACTGAGTGCCAGAGCACAGAGCAGAGCCATCAGCTCTCAAATTGGGGACCAAGAGCACAGTGCGTGTGTCCTCAGGGCTCTGGACACTTTCCTGTGGGCCAAGTGGCCCCAGGAGGCTGGCCATGCACTGTCCATCCGCTGGGTCCAGCAAGGGGCTGCTGGCACCACCCCCCCCCCCGTTCCCGTGTATCTCAGTCCTTTCTCCTGGGGCAGGCGGAGGTGAGGATCAGTGGGGTGATGGGGGCTACCAGGGAGGGCAGCGCAGGCTGTTCGCTCTTGGTTCTCCACCCATTAAGGGGGAGACAGCGCTCAATGTGCCACCAAGAAAGGGCGAAGCACCAGACTCCAGAAGCACTTCTACCTGGGCAGGCTTCACACCACAGAAGCCCGCGCTCAGTTTCCTGTTCTCTGCCCACAAATGCCGAGGCCACTGAATCAAACCTCAGAGGGCATCTACTTTGCAAAAGTACTCTTAAGCCCCAAAACACATTGAAAATTCCATCAAGCCACAATTGCTTCTTCTGTCTCCCTTGAAATATCTAGGAAAGGGCTGAGCACATCTTACCCATCCAAGAGGAAGTATGTGCCACTGCCTTTGTAACCTCCTTGGGACAGTCTCAGCTTGCCAGCATGTGGATGCTTCACACCAGTTTGAGGTTTAGAACATCAAAACTGTTTCCAAGGCAGTGACTGGGGGACAGCAGCTTTGCTAGTGCTAGGGGAATAGGGGAACCACGTCGGGTTCCTCCCCGGCGCTCCCCTTCGGGGTGGGAGCTGCCTTTGGTTTGCTGTTCCAAGCTTCCCTCAGGGACCAGATCTCAGGAATATGGGGCAGGTCGCTGGGATTTAAGTGAAGACGGGCTGATGAGCTGAAAGGCAGGTGCACTGCGTGGGCCCGTCAGCCCCGAGAGGGGCGAGGAACAAGGCTAGGAGAGACGGTCTCCCTTCACTCGGTGGGCCAGAGGGAGCCAGCTGCCTCAAGATGTTCTTTGCTGATCTTTATGCCCAAAATATTTACATACAGCTTGCCCCAGAGGCGGAAGGAGGGGGCTGAGAGGTGTTGCTGAGGGTGAAACGCTACACACTTAGGCAGATGGGAAGATTTCATGCAGGAACAGTGAGATGACTTCTAGCTTCTGCATTTATTTCCTAAAAGCTGTTCTCCATGCAGCTGTGAGATGTGGGGGCTGGGGACACGTGCAGACTCCAGGGAGTCGCGGCTGAGCCTGCAGGGATCTGACAGAGGGCAGGGAAAGAGGACCTGGGAGAGTGCATCTCCCTTCAATCAAGTGTCCAGATGTAGCCAGATACCTGCTTGGGTATCTGGCAGTGCACACGCACACACACACACACACACACACACACACACACACACACACACACGGGTACACGTATTTACATCGCATCAGTTACAGGCGACACTGGGGAGTGACACGCCCAAGAAGAAAGCGCTTCACACACGGCACGCACGCGTCAGGCAGGTGGGGAGGGCGGGGCTGCTCTACGATTCCTACATGGCAGAGACTTACTCCACATACTGTATGCCCGGGCAGGTGTGGGTCAGGAGTCCAGGGAGTGATTTTACCACACAACCCTCCTCTGCAGCGGGGAGGGTTGGAGGTGGGGACACACTCTCTTCCCAAACCAGCTACTGGTTTCCTAGGTATTGCCCAATATCCCCACAAAGTACTGCGCAAAGCAGATACATATAAAGATTTTACATTCTGCCCCAGGCTAATGATCAGGAACGAACTTCCTCTCACTTGCTTTGGGCAGATGGGCGATGAAGGTGTAATGAAATGATTTGGTAGGTCTTCCCAAATTATGTTTATCTTCCAATAGTCATCTTCAATAGGCAAGCATGCATGGAAAGTCACCTGTCAGGCTACTTTACAAACACAGATAATAACAAGACAAAGTGATTAGCAATAAATACGTGATCTCATAAACTCTATTATATATAACCCCACTTTTTATAAGCTAAAAACAATGCTGTATGTTTACAACGTCCTGCTCACTTGGTTTAACACTATCAACAGCTGCCTGTATGGACAAGACAGCCACGGTCCAATTCTGAAGTCTTTCCTCGCTCTTTGCCAACAACTGTTTTAGTCCACATCCCCCCCTCCCCACGGAACAGTGTCAGGTTTGAGGTGCTCAGGCTGAGGGCAAGGAAGAGCAAGCAGGAGCTGAAACACGGAGCTGAGCCCCAGCAGGAACTCAGCACTTAAGGAGCTGGGTAACAAATGCAGGAGAATAGGAAGGAAGATGCAGGGAGATAAGATCCCCTGGGCCTAGGGACCTACAGGGGTGGCCTTAAAAACTGTACCCATTTCACCCCCAGCACCCAGAGGACTGCTGATAAACCAGCAATCTAGAGGGGGAAAAAAAAACCCAGTTTGTGACACATCAGTAATTTCCAAAATATAAATACTCCCATGGCAAGCAGGAAGTCAGACAAGCCATTTGTAGGCGGTATTTCCACCTGCAGACACAGCAGATGTGGGTATCTCAAACAGGAAGCAGTAAAAGGGAGTATTCATGAATATTTATTACTAGTGCCTTCCATATCAGTTTTTAAGCTCAAGTGCGTATCATTTAATTTAATTTTTAATACTGGCCGTGTTGGGTTGGGGTGTAGCCTGGTGGGCGGGTATTTGTCTCCCATGTGTGAGGTCATGGTCGGACCCTCCCTTGCCACCAAAAAACCAAAAAAAACCCAAAAGTGGTGTTGAGCAACTTGTGTGCAAACTTCTGAAAAGAGCAACCAACAACTGGGTCTGAGGGAGGAAAAATAATCAGACTAAAAACAAACAAAAAACCCACCAAACAGTATCTATGCTTTCTAAAGGCTGATGAGAAAATGTAACAAACTAAACAACTGGGGTTTTGGTATTGGAATGTTCTGTTCACGGTGCCCTCAAAAATGCGAACAATTCTCAAGGAGGAGACGAGCCACCGAAGGACCCGCCCTCATGGCCCCCAAGGGCCCTACTTACGGTACCAGGAAACGTCTGCCATTAGGGGCCCTGCTGAAGGCTCCGTGCGCTTCACAGCCGCATGAGCTGCCTTTCCTCTCGCCCTTCCCTGCTACTGAGTCACGTGGGGAGCCTTGGGTGCTATACTTCTGGACTGTGTCCCCTCCGCCAGGGCCAGCAACCTCCTCAGCTCTAGGTGTCCCTGGCACAAGGGACATCATGTTCATGAGGCTCAGAATTAGAGAGGAGAGAAGGGAAGGGACAGAAAAGAGTTAAAATGAGAGGGCAGGAGGGAAGGGAGGAGCAGAGGGAGGCAGCCCCACACAGTCAGAGCGGAGCACTACGGGCAGCAGCAGCAGCGCAGCGCTGGCCAGCAGGACCCTGTCGCCATGGCTGGCCGGAGCCCTGCTGTGTCGCACTTCCTCGCGTCTCCCTGCGTGGCTGCATGTTCCAGTCAAAGGCCTGTGCACGCCCTGGAGTAATCATCTCAGCTCCGTTTCCGTGGGGTTCATCTTTGAGGTGACCAACATCTGAATAGGTGACACTTCATGGTTCTCTTTCTGTTTGTAACTGTCCGCATGGATCATATGGATGAAACTCTACACAATGACCCCAGTGGTCTGCTTGTTACCCTGCGATCTTGTTCTGCTCAGATAAAGCCATCCGAGATGACACCGCTGGTCTTTCATCAGCTGGGCATGTGCATTTAAGGATTTTCCTACAACTAGACAGCGGATTTGTGCTGAATGGGTCACATTTTCTCACCCAGTGAAATATTGGCAATGCTAACTTCTCACATGATGAGCAGAACACTTTGGGTATACTTAGCCTAACTCGAAGCTATGCATGTAAACAGAGGTAGGCCTCCACTGTAACTAGTTAAAACACAGACAACCAACTAAATGCCTTTAGTGATTAAAAAAAGTTCATGTAAGAAAGTGAGGGTGACCCAATATGAAAGTGGTTAAAATCACGGTCAGGGCCATGGTTGTCACGCTAACATCTGCATTAGTCCCTCTGGGCAAGTTGCTGGAGAAGCCCAGGGGCAAGGAAAACAATTGTACACATTGAAGAATCCCAAATAAGTACTGCAAAAACCAGCAATAAAATCATTAGTTGTGTGGTTAACGGAAATGAACAGCCTCTGATAAAATGGTCCCTCGGAGAAGGAGAGGGGTTGGGAGCAATTTCTAAATGGCTCTGTGGCGAAATTTCACCTCTTCCAGTGGACATTCACCTCCGATCTCCTTCAACCCTCTTCTTACGAACTATGAGAGAAAGAGAGAGATACAGAGACAGAGAGACAGAGAGACAGAGAGAGAAATTTAAAAAGCAAATTGAAGGAAGGCATAGCCTTTAAATTCCAAACAATATTAATCCTACAAAACAGCAATCCCGCACACCCGGGGATGCAAAGTATATTAAACTTCATTATTCAACAAATCATGGCAATAAATGGAAATGAAAAAATAAGCCAGGAGGGGGCCGGGAGATGGCTCAGTGGAATAAGCACTTCCCTGGCAAGCTCAAGGGTCTGAGTTCAATCCCCAGTTCCGCCAAAACAAAACAAAATAAAAGCAAAAAAACAGGGCCTGGGGGAATTTGCAGTTACATATAGAAATGGCTGATAGCTGGACCCTCGAGGGCAAGAATGTCCCCATCTCCGTAGAACAGAAAGTCAGGCGTCCTCTGCACATCCTCCTCCGACCCTTGTGCCAGGCAGTCACCCCTAGCTGTCATGAACTGCAGCCATTAATTCTGGTCGTGGCCAGACACCAGGTTTCAGCAGACAGGCCAGAGTGTCTAATCCTCATCTAAAGAACAATCCCTAAGAACAAGCTCCACAGAAGACATGACTCACACGGCTCCTGGGGTCGAAGTGGGCGCCAGGCCACCTGGCCCCATCACTGCCACCTCCTGTCTCTGCCATCTGCCTCCCTGCCCACCTGCCTACCCTGAGCTCTTCTAGCTGCTCTTCTGGGGTTCAGCAGGGTCCCGCCCTGGCTCCCTTTCCACACTGCCCGCTTGCAGGAAACCAGCAAAAGCTGCAGGTACCAGTCATTCAAAGGCCTGTGAGTGCTGCCTCCAGCCTTCCAGGCAGCCTCACCCTGGGGACCATGGCAGGTTAGCTGGTCCCTGCCAGCCTCACCCTCACAAAGCCCCAGAGCTTGAAGTCCTGAGCTGGCCAGCAAGTCTGGGCAGGACACTGGGCAGTTGCCTTTCCCTCTCCCCTCCCCTTGTACCCTGCAGGCCACCACTGCGCCAGGGGAGGGGCACCTGCCCATTCCCTGCCAAGGTTGGGCGCGCTGTCCCTGGACCCAGGCTGGGGATGATGTGGCTCCTGGCTGGCTGGTGAGTGGGATGGCTGCTCGTCCATGTCATTTAGCTTTGCTGCCCCGGGTGGCTGTGACGTCCTTAGATGGAGCCCTCCGGGTCTGTCCCAATTGTCCGTGCTGTGTTATCAGGATGCACCCCACATCCTCTAACAGGAGAAACAGCAGGTTCTTCAGCCAAACGAGGTGGCATAACAGACTTAGGGGCCAAGGGAAACCTGTTCTGAATTTCACCTCTGCTACCTCACACCTTTAGTTTACCTCAGCCCAAGCACTGAAGCATCAGACATCCCCATACTTAAACCAGAGGCGTGAGGCCACCAATGACCCCCTAACCTTCTGCCTCTCATGCAGATGACAGACACCAAGACATGCAGAATAGTGTGGGCCGCCAGATGTGGACAGGACCAGGAGCCGCTCAGCGTGCCCCCTGCCATCACCAGCACACAGGGAGGAGACTGCCAAGGTTCACAGCTAGACATCTCCCAAGCCTTGAGCACCCACAGCTGGGTTTGGGCGGGTGACCGGATCATGGATGATGCTGGGTCATGGGTGTGTGTCTTGGGGCTGTGTGACTTGGGGTCATAGGTGTGTGACACTGAATTGTGGGTGTGTGATACTGGGTTGTGGATGTGACATGGGATCATGGGTGTGCTACACTGGAGCACGGATGTTGTGTGGAGCTGGGTGCAATGTTGGGTGGTGGAGCCTGCCGGGAGGAAGCAGTCACCACCGTGGTGCCCTGGCAGGGTCTACCCCTCCCCCCTTGATCCCTCCCTGCTCCCCCCCGGCATGCCAAGAGCAAGCTCCTCTGCTGCACCACTCTGCCTTGAGGCCCGCGGACTACAGACTGAAGCCCTATCTGCTCTGGGCCAAAATAAGCCTTTCCTCCTTTGGGTTGTGTCTGTTGGGTGTTGTGCCCCAGCAACAGGAAGGCAACAAAGACAAGGACCTTACCCAGGTCGTTATTCTTGGTGATGGCAGCTGCCACCCTGGTGCGCGGCCCCTGCTTGGTGAACTGGTATCCGAACTTGAGGATCCTCGAGTTCTCCTCCAGCATCTGCGCAATCTCCATCTCCACAGCTGTTCCCAGCTGCTGCCGCTGGTGAGTCGCATGCGCACGGAGCAACCGGAATGGGGAGGAAACCGTTTCCGGGACAGAAATGCGGTGAGGTGGACAGAAATGGAAGGGTTGTTGGAAATGCTTCCTCTGAAACAGTCATCAGAGCCCTGCACCTTGATGCTAGAAGCAAGATCCACATAGGCAGCTGGGTCTGCAGGCTCCCAAAATGGAAAAAACTAGAATCTGAGCACTGGGGAAGGCCAAGGCAGGAGGACTGAAAGTTTGAGGCCAGTCTGGGCAGTTAAGCAAGACACTGCCTCAAAATGGAAAAAAATAAAAAAAAGCTGCAGGTCAGGCTCAGGGGTGAGTGCTCCCAATCCAAGCTCCAGTTACAGGAAGGGGAGGCAATTCCAATTAGTTAAAGTAGAACTAATATTTGGTATTTCCAAGTTTTCCAAGGATTTTTTTTCTTTTTCTTTTAAACAGTGAAACTGTCTTAAAGCAGTCAGTCACCACACAGGTTGATAAGGGCTCTACAGTGGTTTTTGGTTTTTTTCCTTTTGCCATTTTATGTATTTGGTACCAGGTCTCACTATGAAGCTCGGACTTGCAGTGATCCTCTTGTTTTCAGCCTCCCCAGTGCTGGGATTATAGCCGTGTGCCACCACCCCTGGACTCTGGGCCAGCTCAGTGTGCCCCAGAAGCAAGGCCAGCAGGCATGCGGGACTGGGGATCAAACCCTGGTCCCTGCGTTTGTCAAAGCAGGCACTTAGTCTGCTGAGCTATCTCCTCGATCCTGATAAGGGTTTTTTGTTTTTTTTTTTTCTTTTTCTTTCAGGGAAGGGTCTACAGGGTATTCAGGGTCTCACTACTAGATCAGACTCGTAGTGATCCACCTGTTTACAGCCTCCCAAGAGCTGGGATTACAGGCGCGCGCCACTATGTCCAGTCTTAATCATTGTCTCAGCACACCCTGGGGGCGGGACCGGCACGGCAAGCCCGGGATCAAACCCCAGCCCCTGTGTCTGCTTGCAGGCGCTTTAATCCACTGAGTTATTTGGCTGGCCTTATGTAATAAGGGTTTGAAAGATTGGTAAAATCCCATTTGGTGTGTGTAGGGAACCTCAAACACTATGCACAGAGGTAAAGAGGACAAATAGCCCTTGAAGGCCAATCAGTCATCTCTCAGAATTTAACGCAGGCTTCCCCAGGTCCCAGGTGGGACCTCCCCAGGGCCTATGAGCAGAAACTCCCCAGAGATGCTGGGCATGTGGTCCTCCCCAAACTGGAGCCACTGGACAGCAACCACGTGAGCGGCCAGCCGGCTGGGCACGTACAGCCTGCAGGGCGGTAAACACTCATCACCACCTGAAAAGCTTGATGTTAAAGGAACAATAAACACATTTCCAGAACGGGACACTGCCATCACCACTACGTGACAAGCGAGTGTGACCATGGGGCGTAGAGACTGTGAAGCCAC